AGGTGTCTGGTGTGGAAAGACCAAAGCGCCAGAGGGTTTTTATTTTTTTAATAACTAATATGATCATTTATTTTCACATCATTTTGCATCTTTTCCCATCTCAGTTGTATTCCCCGTGGGCTTCCCATCACCAAATCACCATGTGCCATCACCATAGTCCAGTGCACTTCCTCCCCCAACTACCCCCCGTTTTTGATCCCATTCCCCACTCCACCGCATAAAATGTCTCTGGTATAGAGCTGTTCATTATTACTATTATTTTCTCGCCTGTTCCATTATATTACTACAATAAGTGAAACCATCCAGTATTTTTCTTTTTCTTTCTGGCTCATTTCACTAAGCATGATCTTTTCCAGCTCCATCCATGTTGCTGCAAAAGGCATGTGTTTCTTTCGGTTTTTTTGTTTGTTTTTTGGTTGCTGAGTAATATTCTATTGTGTATATATACCACATCTTTTTAATCCAGTCTTCCACTTTTGTTCCAGAGGATTTTTTTTTAATTTTTTATTCATTTGTGCATACAGAAAACTGGGGTAGAGGCTCAGGGGCAGTGAGAGGCTTCACCAGAGACAGAGTGGAGAGCAGAACAGGCCGACTGACGAAGTACACTGCTGAGGGGAGCAGTGGGCGGGCCAGGAGAGGTCTGCGGCGCCATGTGGTCCCCTCCCGGACAGGAGGGATCGAACTCATGTGGAAGTGGCTTTAGCTTCTCAGTGCAGTGCTTTAACCTGGTAACTCCAGCTGAGGACGGACTGAGTGGCCATTACCTTCTCAGAGCCTCAGTTTCCTCATTGTAAAATGGAAGGTGTATACCAACCTCCCAGGTGATGGGCATGCTGAGATAAGGCTCTGTGGGTGAAAGCCAGTGGGGACTGTACTGTCTGCTACAGTTTTTGGGGGGGCGGGGAGGAGGGAGTGTGTGGAGTCAGATTAATGACTTGAAGTTTCAGCTCCACGGTGATGAAGGTGACATCTTGGGGAAAAAGATATTCTTTCCTTGATTCTCTGGCTTTGCATGTGTTAAGCAGGACAATTGATTGTATCAACAATTCAGGAACAAGCCAGTATTCGAAATTAAATAGTGAAGGAAGGTCTCTCCTGTCTTGATGCTGCTTCTCTTAGCGTACTTCAATACCTCTGCCTTTTCTGCTCTCACAAAAAAAAAAAAAAAGTAAGGGTTAAATGAGATAATATATGTACCTTGGCCACAGTAGGTACTCAGCAAATGTTCCTTCCCAATCTCAGGCCCACACAGCCCTTAAAACAGTTTGGGCAACAAAGGGTTCTCTGTAGAGGAGAAAACCAGTGGGAGGAGGGGGGGTAGGTGCTTGCCTCCTGTTTCTCACTCTCTCCCTTCTTTCCTTCTCCCTCCCTTTTTCTCCAGTTTCCCTTCTCTAAATGAGGAACTCACTGGCCAAAGCCCAATATGGTCACCCATGCTCAGAACAAGCAGCCAAATGCTCGCCTCCCACACGGAGTTTCCAGAGTGTGAGCACAGTTGCATAACCTGAGACACGTGTCCCCCTGAGGTGTTTGCAGTAAGCATTCCCTGAAAGGGAACTGCAAGCTGCTAGCCTGGCAGTGGGGCAGCCCAGTCAGGGAGGAGGAGGAAGGGCGGCTGGAGGCGGCTGGCAGAGGAGCCTTGGGGGTGGGGTGGTGAGAAGGGTTCACTGACCTGCTGCTTACCAGGCACCAGGTGCTAGGCTCCCTGTGCCTGAGTGAGTGTCACCTGAGATATAAATCACACCCAAGGGAAGAAATAATAGCAATAATGAATATGGCTAATATTTACATTATTTGACTGCCTATTTGGGAGTCTCATAAGGAAGTGGGTCCCCAGGACAGCTAGGGATACCATCCCCACTTGACAGAGGAGGACACTGACCCTCAGATGATGGAACTTGCCCAGGACCCCCAGTCAGGCAGCAGCAGACCTCCGAAGCCCACAGACCGGGGTGAGGACAATTCCCAGGGGGCTGTAGGTGTGATCTGGAAAGCGTGTCCTGTGTTGCTGTCCTTACTTGCCCCCAAAGGGGTCCCAGTGTGGGGGTGACGTCAGTGACCAGTGTCTCTGCACCTAGGGGACAGCGTGTCCCAGCTTGTAGCTGTTCGTCATTCTGCCTCTGACCTAACGTTTAAAATTTCATTCATAACTTGGGACCACAAACTTGGCAGTGTGGGAAGAGCCCTTGGAGATCAGCTATTCTAGTCCAACCCCCTCACATTACAGATGGAAAAAAACCCTGAGGCCCAAAGAGAGGCACGGACATGGCAAGGTCACGGGGCACTTTTCTGCTAGAGGGAGGAGCTGGTTAGAGGTCAATGACAGATCATTTTGTTCTCTAGTTACCAAATGTGTCTGTGCCTCTGAATCACTTGGGAACTCTTTAAAAATACGCATTTCTGCACTCTGCCTTCAGACTTCAGATTGCAACAAAGACCTGCGGCTCTGAGTAACATGCTGCTGGGGTTATTGAGCTGGCACGTGGCCAGGAAATGCATTTGGGAGCTGAGTCCATTTCATTATGTAACTTGGGATCCAAACACCCAGCACCAGACATGCCAGAGGCAAGTTGCTGGGACCCTAACTTGGACTTTGTGATCTGAACCCACAGCTCCTTATTCTCCAGAGCGCTAAGGTCTCAAAACGAGCCAAGGAGGCTGGCCCAGGGACTTTCGGTGGGTTTCTCCAGCTTTTGGTTTCCTTGTTGGACCCAAATTACGACACCGGGATGGCACTCATTCTCAGGGCTCGGGAAAGGTGGACCTGCAAGAGGTGAAATCTTAAAGGGAAAAGGAATCTGCTGTAGGCTGTCCACAGGCTTGATGGGGGTTTCCAGAGATGCTGTCAGCTGCTCCAGGTGTGACATCACACATTCCTCCTGATGAAGGCTCCCTGTGCTTTCCATTTCGGAAGACTAAGTAAAGAGGGCCTGGGCCCTGGAGCTGGGGAGGCCTAGCTGTGACACGGAGGCACCAGATTCCTGGACTGTCTACACTTATCAGCATGAGGGAGGAAGAGGAAGCACCACTCCCCACAGGGGATTGTCAAACCTCTCAAACACCTTTCCAGACCTCTTCCATCTCTCCAGAATCCTTCAGCCTGGAGCAATCTCAGTCAAGGGTTTCATTGTTCTTTGTCCTTTCCCGACCACTTCCACTACCTAGTATTAGGTCTCCGTCCTTTCTTTTCTCCCCCCCCCCCCCCCACCAAATGCATTTGTGTTTGTAGTCAGTGTCCTGGCTTTGAATCCCAGAGCTCCCTAGGAGTTCTCTGACCCAGGTGGCGTCATGCCCCTCTGAGACTCAGTTTCCTTTCCTTTAAAAAAGGGGATAGGAGGCCCTCTAGCACTATGAAGCTATCCGCAGCCACTGCAGCACGAATTCGAGTTGGGTCCCTGGCCAGGGAGGTGACCCACATGGCGCGGCAGACCTCTCTTGTCTCACCCGCTGCACCTCTCAGCAGTGTATTTCAGTAGATCCACGTGTTCTGCTCCCCACTCTGTCTCTGGTGAATCCTCTCACCTCTATGGTCCCCCCTCACCGCCTCCCCTGCACCTCTGGTCCATGCCCCAGTTCTTGCATGCATGCATAAGTAAATAAAATCTTTTAAAATAAATAAATAAAAGGGGCATAACATCTACTTTCTTGGGATACCTTGGTATCCCATAGGTATTTCAGAAACACTAGAGCATGTGAATAATAAGTGGACCAGAGGGATTTGAATATATTTTTGTTGAACTGATTGAGTCACCTAAAAAAAAAGGTTAAAATGGAAAGCACTTGAGAAATCTTTGGGTCTTAGTGATTTTCCAGCTCAAGTGAACTCTTTACAATATTTTAAAATAAGGGCAATCACATACTTACACTTGATAAAGTCTCAAGTTTCTTAACTTTTGTCTGGAATTGTATCAACTCAAAGTGATAACAGTTATCACCTGCTGTCTAACAGTCCTGATTGGCAGTTACCTGGGTCTTTGATAAGGTTTTTTTATTGGTAAAATAATGAATGAAGGGTAGATTGCATGTTGGAAAACATTAATCGTGTCCACTCCTCATTTCCTACACAGAGAAACTGAGGTTTAAAGAAGGAAGTAGCTTGCTAGCCACCCAGTTGGAGCAGCTGGCTCTAACACCCCGAGTTCCCCTGGGTTTTAGTTGCTTCCCTCTTTTCCCACTGGGGAGAAGGGGAACCTAGATCAATGAAACTGAAGGGTTTGGGTAGGCTGGTGCAGAAATAAAGTGACTCATCAACTTGTTGTTGCCCTTTCTCTGTTGACTCATTCGATAAATATTTCCTGACCACATTATTTGGACTCAGGAGAAAGAAGAGACAAACAGTCCTAAGGTAAAGCAGAGTCAAGCTCTGCCCCCAGCTATCACTTACTAAGAGCTGTGCCTACCCGCACCGGCTACCCCCTAATAGAAAATACCCACTACTCTGGTTGTGTCTGAGGACCCGGACCTTCTCATTTGATAGTGCCCAACTCTTCCTGGCACCCAGTAGGCTTGAAATCAACGCTGTAGGAAGCACCGGAATTCTAATCCTGATTGCACTAACTCAGTGTCCTTAGTACGTTGTTTTCCTTCTCCGCCCTTAGTTAATATGTAAACTGGGGAGAATGGCGAAATCAAATGTGGAAGAGTTGGCAGCTTCACATTTATTCCAGAGTTTAACTAAAGAAAATAAACATGACGAAACCAGACTGAAAACAGGGTCAACCTTCATCATCTCATTAAGTCTCGAACATCTTTCTCTCCTCCTTGGCCACCCTTCTTCTATCTTCCCCAGTCGTCCCCTGTTCTTCAAGATTCCCCTCTAGAGGGCAGTCGAGCTCTACGGCTCTCAAGCCTCACTTCCGTTCGCCTTCATTCTTCACTTTGCGCATGTGCGCACTCCGCTTCCCGAGGCCCTCCCCACGCGTTAGGGGCCTCCACGGAGCTGGCTGCCAGTACGCCTGCGCAATACTAGCCCCGCCTCTCCGCCGCCTTCCCCGGAAATGCTTCCTTCCTACGCAGTCGCTGCGGCTGCGGCGGTCCGAAGGAGCTTGCCTCTCTAGGCAGCCAGGGCCTCTCCTCCATGGTTCTGTCTGTCAGTGTTGTTTGGGGGGCCCGCGGGTGAGGCTGGGCCGCGCCCCGACGCTTGGATCCTCGAGTCGGTCAACGGTGAGTGGACTCCGAAGGAGCTCAAGTGCGGGCGGGAGCTGGGCCTCCGGGCTGAGCAGGATTGATTCCTCCTCGCCTCGGGAGGAGATGTCCACCTCGCTGTCCCTCCAGTTCCTAGAAGGGGCTCGCCCCCTCCACCCCTGTCCCCCCCCCCGGGCGGGTCGGGGTTGCCATGGTGACGGCCTGCCGGCTGAGGCCCAGTGTGTGTCCTCTCAGGTGCCGTGAACGTCCGCGGTCCATGGCGCGGCGGCGCTGACTCGGGTCGCGGCGGCGCCGGGGCCCGCTGGCCGGCATGGCGGGCCAGTTCCGCAGCTACGTTTGGGACCCGTTACTCATCCTGTCGCAGATCGTCCTCATGCAGACCGTCTACTACGGCTCGCTGGGCTTGTGGCTGGCACTGGTGGACGCTCTGGTGCACAGCAGCCCTTCGCTGGACCAGGTGTTCGACGACCAGGTACGATCCGCACGGGCAGAGCTTCGGCCTCACCTGTCCGCGGGGATGGGGAGAGTTTGTGATCTGACACTGTTGGGCTCTAGACCTCCGGTGCCACCTTTCCTCACTTGTGGCCCTAGGAAAGGGATCTTACTTTTCTGAGTCTCGGGTGCCCCATCTATAAATGGAATGACGAATGACAGAGGTCCATTAGTACAATGGACAGGACCTGGATGTTCTAACAAACAGGTGTGCAGCCCAGGTATGCTGGTACATCTCCTGACACTTGGAGGAAGTGAACTCTGCGCTGAGCCCCAGATTGTCACTTGGCAGATTGTGGCAGAGAAGGGATAAAAGAACATTCCCAGGGGTTAGATGGAAAGTGCCTGGACTTTGGCTTCCCTTTAAGTTCTATTTACTTCTTGATGGCCTGGGGCAAGTGTTGTCACCTCTTTGAGCTTCAGTTTTCCTGCCTGCAAAGTCATGAGACCAGTAGAGGACCAGGGCTGCAAAGAGCCTGTAAGTTGGATTTCGAAAGGCTTAGTGACCTCTCTAGGTCCAAACACACTGCTTGTGGAGCTTGAGACAAGTGGCTTCACCTTTTTGAGCCTGGTTCTTCTTCTGGAAACTGGGAGAATAGCCAGCAAGATGTTAGGTCAGAGGGCCTAAGATATGGACGTGCTTTGTTATGTATAATGGAGACCTGAGATAGGTTACAGGGTCATGAACACTGTTCTTGGAGCCAGGAGACCAAGGTTGGACTTTTGGTCTTCGTTACCTGAAAAGAGTTTTAAGAGGGACGATAATAGCTGCAAGGTTGTTGGGAGAATAATATGAGGTGATGGATGTTGAAGGCCTTTGTGAGCTAAGAGTTTTGTGCAGGTATTTGGTATTCAGTAGTTTTTTGTCAAGATATTGTGCAGGCCCCAAGTGCCTCATCAACTGTAGCCTCTTGGGAGCCTCTGTCCTCCTGGAAAGGGCATGTGGGCATCCTGGATGTTTGTCAAAGAGCCATCTTATGCGTACAACCTGAATTCTAGACCAGAGGTCTAGAATTTTCCTAAACAGCAAGATCCTAAAAATTTTATTAAAGTCACCACTAATGGAGTAGCAACCCAAGACCATACTAAGGGACCAGGGCGGCAGTGTTTGAATGACCTCACGAAAATGGATGCTTGAACTTACCATTTACACACTTTGGGCAATTCTTGAGTTTTTATTTCTCCTTTGTAAGATGAGGTAATTATTTTTTCCCAGCTGTTGTGACCGCTCAAATAAGATACCATGATGGATGTCTGTGAAAACACCTTGTGGAGCTGGGTTGTCACACAGGTGACAGGGGTGGGGTGGCGGTGCTGTCTCTGCTCTGGGAAGTATGTGTGTTCCTTGGAGGCCCGCAGGACCCTAGGGCCTGGAGCTCTGCCAACACACTTCTCTAGCATTTTCCCTTTGTGACTCTTCTTCAGATCCTGGGCTTTTCCACCCCTCCAGGCCGGCTCTCCATGATGTCCTTTGTCCTCAACGCCCTCACCTGGTGAGTATGGCCAGTGTTGCTCTCTAGCTTCTGGGGTCTTGCACTGGAATGGACTTTCTAAATTTGGGTGTGTGCAGACTGCTTGTTCTGGGGAATGGTGTACTCAAGAGGCTAGTTCTGGGACTGGCTCCATCACAGGTCATCTGCTATCACTGTTCTGAGATAGCTGTAGCTGGGAAGCTCCTGTGTCACTGTGCATGTGGCCTGTGGGACAACTTCTGTTCTCAGATCACATCCCTGGAGTTGAATGAAGTGAGGAAAGAAGTGGGAGTCAGGAGAACTGGGTTCTAGTCTTGGTCTGCATGCCACATTTCTCCCTCCTCCCAGGGCCTGGGCTCCCCGTCACTCACACTGAGAGGTGTGGCTGGGTAACATCTAAGCTCGCTCAGGACCATTGCCTGTTTCTTGAGAGGCGCTTTATCCTAGCAGTTAAGATCTCAGGCTCTGGAGGCAGACTCACTTGGCTCTGAACCTCACCTTTACCTCTAGTCTAGAGACTGTGGACAAGTTAATCTGCCTGAACTCCAGTTTCCTCATGAGGAAAGGGAAGCTAATGTTACCCACCTCGTACTGATAAGGAGTCAATGAATTAATTCACAGGACATACCTAGAACAGCATCTTGTATGTTATTCTTGACCTTCTATTCAAGGTGGAAAACTGTTGCGTTTTGACCTAATTTGGCTCCTATATATGTTCTGTTTGGCTCACACTGATGTCAGCCCACACATGGTATTTAAAAATATTTTTTCAGTGAGTTGAAAAATCAGGATATTTTATATAAAAATAAATCCAGATTTCTGGCTTCTCTTGAAAAATGGAAAGATGATTTGACTCTAAGCCAACCTTCGAGCATGGCGATTTGCCCAGTTGCAAGCAGCTGTTGTTACCACTCTAGAAGGATCTTGTATGCTTCAGAGTGCTGCAGTCCCCATCAGTCCCAAGGCTCCCTGCAACAATTGACATTTATCGTCAAGCTCATACTTTTTGCACTTGTTCGACCTAGCCGCCGGGGTCCTGTAGACATCTTATTTTGTAACCCTTGCTTTACATTTCTCTCACTTGCTTCTGAACACTCTGCTGCCTGTCCCCAAATAACAGTCTAAAGCCGGCAACCCAGTGACGACTCGCTGCTGTCCTCTCCCCACAGTGCCCTGGGCTTGCTGTACTTCATCCGGCGAGGGAAGCAGTGTCTGGATTTCACTGTCACTGTCCATTTCTTTCACCTCCTGGGCTGCTGGTTCTACAGCTCCCGGTTCCCCTCGGCGCTGACCTGGTGGCTGGTGCAGGCCGTGTGCATAGCACTCATGGCTGTCATCGGGGAGTACCTGTGCATGCGGACGGAGCTCAAGGAGATCCCCCTCAACTCAGCCCCTAAATCCAATGTCTAGAATGGGGTCCTTTGGGTACCCTGCTGGGCACTTGGCACACTCACCACCACCCCAACACGTTGGGCTGTTCAGAACCTCCAGATGAGGTTGGGCCCGGGTCTGAAAGGAACCCTGCAAATGTGAAGTCTCTGTTGGTGAGGGAGAGATAGTGAGGCCTGTGAAGAAGGCAGGTAGAAGCAGATCACAGCTGCAGGATGGCCTCTGTCTGCCGAAGCCTTGGTACCCAGGAGGTCAGCGAGGGGACCTCTTTCAGGGGAATAACAGAATTGGAACCATGTCACTCTTGAGCCATCATACCTGACACCAGCCTGTTATTTTTAAAAAGAAAAAAAAAATCAAGGATATATGATTGGAGCAAACTGCTCTTCCAGTCTTCTGTCTTACCTCCCTGGGACAGCACTTACCTTTGCCATGTTGCCGAACCACAGCTCTTCTCTTGGAGAAACGGTTTCCAGATCCAGAGCCCCAGAAAGAGATGTGGTGCACAGTATTAGCTGCTGCCAGGGAGCGGCGGCAGGCGGAAGCATCAAGCACAAGGGACGTGCGCAGCCTGCGCCCTGCTCCACTCGTGCGCACCCATGAATCCGTGACTGACTTTCTCCCAGTTCTCTCTGCTGGGCCTCACCCTGCTGCCAGCTTTCAGCATAGCAGAGAACGACCCAGAGAAGAATCCCAGTACCCATCGCTCCCAGTCTTACCCTCACAGTTGAGTCACTGCCTGTTCTCAAGGAATGACCAGACACCCCAGCTCTCGCTAGAACTCGGGCAGTAGTTCCTTTTTCCGGCCTTACTTGGAATTCTCCAGTGGCGAGGGAACCGCGGGTGCCTGCCCTCGCCGCTTGAGCTGTGTTGATAGTGCCGAGGGAGATGGGAATTTGCTGCTAAGAATTTTCCTTGGGGCAGGTGTTTTCTGTGAGGGGCTTGCGGCTCTCCTTCCTAGGTATATAAATACAGTATTTTCCACGACTTTGTGTCTGCCTATATTAGTCTTTAATGCCTCAGCTGGGACCGAGACCTCCGCAGAGCCAGCCAAGGGAGCTGTCAAGAATTATTAGCCCACCTGCTTGCCTGGATCCCAGATTATTCTCCTAGTGGCTAAAATACTAAGTGCAGGGAACTCCTCTGGCCCACCCGCCTACCTGCAGCCCCTCTGCTAGGCCTTGGACGTCCTCCTGTCACCCAGTTTCCTGACTTGCCCAGACAAACACACTGGTCTCCACCCACTCCGGCGCTGAAGCCATTGTTGCTTTCTGACACAACCCTGCAAGCACTGCCAGTGGCCACTTAGTCCAATGAGCTAGGCACCATCACGTCCCTCATTTTGCAGACAGAGAAACAGATCTAGGCGTGAACAACTTTCTCTACCGTCATACAGCTGCTAGGAAGCCTGGCCTATTTGCCTCAAAGCCTCATCTTTTCGTGTTCTGATCACGTTTGAGGGGTACATGATCTGGTTTGGGGGGAGATAGTCTCTGTAATCTGAATGCCGTTTTCAGTGAAAGGTCCTGAATGTGAACCCGAGACAGGCCTTTGAAAGCTGCTAGTTCCTGAAAGTGGGCAGCTCTTCAGCTGCGTATAAGAGACACCGCCTGCACCTGCCTTGGGGTTTCATTATCACGTGGGGCTGGGGGGGAGGCATGGAAAAAGGCCAAGCATTTGTTTAACCTTAGGGGCCTGGGAATGATGGCGGCTTCACCGACATCAAGCCTGATCTGCTCAAAGCCTCTGAAGTGGATCTTAGTATCCTCATTTTATAAATAGATGAAACAGGCTCAAGTCTTGTGACTTGATAAGAATCAGTGATTCAAACACTCTAAAGTTAATTTTTTCCTTAGTTAACTGCCCAAGTAAAGACCTAGAAGAGGGGCCTTGGAGTGGTTAAACAAAGAGAAGGTGGTAGTGGGGAGACCCAGACTGTGGGAAAAAGGTTGCCAGAGGCCCAAGCACCAGCGCAGTAGAGATAAGGTCAGGAGGAAAGAAAGTGGGGGCCCTTGAGTGCAGGCTGATCTTGCTTCCACACTGGCGGCCTGGCCACTGCTCCCAGCCGAGGCTCACAGGCTCCTGACCGCTGGCTGGGAGCAGGGGCCCAGCTCTAGCTTCCGATGGGGCGGAAGTAGACAAGCTTACCCAGCCCGGGCCTTTCCGGCCTCCTCTTGGGGCTCCCAGGAAGACTAGTGCAGCCCCCCACCCCCCACTTCCCACTGGTTTTGGTTTTTTGGCGGGAGCCCGTTGCCCTGACCATGGCTGCTAACTGGGCAGGGCTGCAGTTCACTTAGCGGAGGGTGGGATCGTAGGTGCTTGAGGGGAAAGATGGAATAGAAGGGTCTCTCAGATGTTCATGGAATTGGGGATGTCCAGGCAGGAAACTGAAATAAAGATGACTCTGGAAATGGATGGGATGGGTGCAGACTGGATGGGGAGCGCTAAAAGTGGAGGTTTACTAGGGGATATGGGTTGCTCTGGTAAGTGGAGGGGGGGAATGTGGGGTGCACGGAGGGGAAGTGAAGTTCCAGGATGCCCACAGGCTGGCAGAGGTTGGGAGCACCAGCAGACCCCCTGGCATGCCTTACCTTACAGGGCCCAGCAGTTCCAGAAGAGAAGTCAAGCTGTACCTCGCCCCCCACCCCCCACTCCCCACCCCGCACCCCTCAGGCTGCCTGTGCGGGCAGCCCCCAGGGAAACGTTGCGTTCCTTCCCTCAGCAGCACCACGGTTGTCCTGTCACAGAGCAGGGCACCCGAGAAGGCTGCCCAGTGCCTTGGGTTCAAGGGCGCTCCATCCATCCTTCGCCCTCCCTTCCAGTTTAAGGCTCCTCCCACCCTCCTGACTCCCTTTAGAAGAACCACTGTCTTGGTCCTTAAGGTTTTCTCCTCCCAGCCCACCACTACCTGCAGAGGGTGACCCCCCCCCCTCCAGCTGGGGTGGGAGGTGGGCCTGGCTCATCACATGGGAGCAGTAGAGGCAGCACCCACTTTCGGGGTCCACCTGAGTCAGGTGGGCTCACCTCCAGACCCAGGTGACACCGTTTATTGACCCCAATGTGGCCACCGGGGCTCAAGGGCCTGATGGGCTGAATGTTCCCTGGTGCCTTTCCCTTCTGAAAATGGAATGGCGCCCAGTGGGAGACCTAGATCAGCGTTCATTTGTCCCCCCTCTTCCTAGCAGTGTGAGCCCAGCAGTCACGCCCCACCCCTGCCACTCCCTGGTCCCCTCTGTTGACAGGGCCATTGTGAGAGCCACCAGCAGCAGGCAGGCAAATCGCCCTTTCTGTGACTTCACAGAGTTCAGCAGCTGGGGATAGGGGGCGCAGGCAGTGGAGAGGTGCAGGTCCCTGGCGTCTTTGTCCACTTCTTGACTGCCCTCAAGGGCCTGGGGCTGGGCAGGAGAAGCTGAGGTCACACTCCCTGAGCGCCTCTTGCCTTCATGTTTCAGTTCCAGACAAACAGGCAGAGCCAGCGGCTACTGTTCCGTGTCATATGGGAAATTTTATTTGTAGACCCGCGTATTTTCCCGCCCACCCCGTTCTGTCGATCTATCTAGCGCGGTCTCTGCCCCTCCTCGCTGCTCCGGCTGGACCCTTGCTCACCCAGCACCTGCCGCGGAGACCTCGGGTTAGTTCGGCGCTGAGGCTGCCCGCAGGGGGCGCTGCCGCCCAGGGAGCGGGCTCGCGAGGCCTAGGCGCGGCGGTGCGGGGTGTTTCCGCCGGGAGCTCAGAATAACCTTATTGAGGCTTAAATAAATAAAACATGGAGAGTCGATTTGCTCCGAGGGGGTTGGGCAGCTCCTCACTTCACCACTTCTCCCCCACATTTGGAAATCCCTGAACTCACGCTCAGCCCTGGGCGAGGTTCTGAGTCACAGCAGCTGTGGGCCCTGCCGAGGCCTCCAGGCAGTGGGGTGCCACCTTGAGCCCGCACTTGCAGTGCTGCTCCTCCCAGAGCCCCACCCGCCACTGCTGCCTCCCTGCGGTGTGGCCTGGTCAGTGGCTTAGCCCCTCTGGGCTTCCCTTTCTGGGCGTGACGCGGGGCGCCCAGCACTGCCAGCCCCGGAGGCTGGGTCAGGAGCCCGCTGACTCTGGGGCCACCTCTGCCCCTGTGAGGAGGGGGGCGGGGGGGGGCGGCGCCTCACCCTGGCCTGCCAGCGGCGATGTCACACCCTGTAGGGGGGGTGCCTAGGCAGCTCCAGCGAGGCAGAGCAGAAGCGGGTGCAGCAGCGCTTGACCCAGCGCCGGGCGGACGATCTGCACATTACCCGGGGCCCTGGGAGGTGCACGCGCGTGGGCAGCCCTTCGAACCACATCCACTGGCCAGCCTCTTCTGGCTGCTTCGCGCCCCACTTGGGGGCTCTGTGTCGGAGGGGCTTCAGGAAGACCACCCTGGGGTTCCCGAGGGGTGGTCTCCCCCCGCGGGCCCCAGGGCCAGAGTCCTGCGACCACGTCCTCGGGTGGGCAGGTTCTGCCTGCTCTTCTGGCAGCCGCTCTCTGCTGGGGGATCCCTTGGTCCGCTCCCCCAGCCTCCTCCTGGGCTTCCATCCCTCAGGCTCACTCTCCCCAGGCTCCCCTTTGCACTGCAGTTTGTTCTTGGGGTACGTGGCCCCTGGGAGCCCTGCATTATGTAGTTTCCCTTTCTTGCACACATCATTCCTGGCAGGGAGAGGAACAGCAGTCAGCAGAGGAGGACTAATAAGCCCTGGTCCGCTACGCGCCCAGACACATGCTGTGCAGCCCGCTGGGGGGAGCCTGTTAAGAGAGCTAGAGGCCCCCCAGTGGGACTGTGCCTGGTAGGAGAGGCTCTGACAGGTATTCGCACAGGGGGTGCGAGAGGCTGGGGAGGTTTGAGCGGTTGGGATACCCGGAGGTAGGGGTGTATCACCAGGTCGCAGGGCTGGGGAGCTGCCTCTCTGGTTTCAGTGCATGGAGGTTTCAGTTATGTTTTTCAGATTGTGTTTCCAGAAATCTCAGGGTTCTGGTTCATTATCTCAACTGCCCTGTCCCTTGGGAGAAACCTTCACCACAACCCCACAATTGAGGTTTGGGGCAGATGTTTGAAGAGAGATTGCAGTGCCTTGAGAAGGCTGGAGAAGGGTGGGCTAGGGATTGATGCTTCGCTCTGGTGCCTGCTGACTCCGTGTCTGGAAGGTCAGCTCAGGGTGGTGGTGGTGGGGGGGCGGCCAGAGAGGCGCTGGGCTGCCCAGCGGCATCTGCCATGACCGGGCCCCTGCAGAGTGGCAGCGCTGTTCTAGCCAAGTGTGGGAGCCGGGGCGTGGGGAGGCCCCAGGCCCCAGGAGACAGTGCTAATCATGCAGACCTCATTCCCGCAGACCGAGTGATGCTCCGTGCAGGCTTGGTATCGTACAGCAGCCCTGCAGAGCAGGAGGCAGGTGGCGCCCTCCAGAGAGACTGTCTGAGGTTCAATTCTGCCTCTTTCTGGGGCAAGATTTGGGGCAAGAAACTGAACGTCTCGAACCTTCGATTCCTCTTGTGTAAAACCGGGATAATTCAGTCTACCTCTGGAGTTATTGTGAAAATAAACTAAACGGGGAGATGCTGCGAATGTCGTTGCAGGCACCTAATACATGTGAGCTTTCTTAGCATTCTTACATGATTTATGGGAAACAGCCTCAGCAGGATGGGGAGTCTGCTGGGGGCTCCAGAGGTGTGTTGCCTTGAGATGGGAGCGGAGAAAGGAAGGAGCCTGTAGCTCCCCAACTGGCCGATTATGACCTTGGCTCTGACGGCAGCTCTGCCCTCCAGACAGTGACCTCACACCCTGGCTCTGCCTCGCCCACCACCCGGTTACCTCTGGAGCCTCAGCTCCCCCACTAGGTGGGGCTCACATACACCTTTCTCGCAGGGCCTTTGTGCAAATCAGGCACTTCTAAAGTCCTTAGCACAATTCCCGCTCCTAAGGACAGCGATTGGGTCCCAGGTGGGAGCCATGGGTGGGCCAGCTCACCTGGGGGAGACACAGAGAGTCCTTGGAACTCGGATCAGTGAGTCCCAGCACCTCTTGGCCAGGGTGTGCATTTCTTGGATCCGGGGATTCGAGCTCTTGAGGACTCTCAGGAGCGACAAGTTTTTTATCACCTGCCAGGGTCAGGAAAGCAGAAAAACAGAAGCTTCAGCCTTCCCAGCCTGGCCTTGGCCCAGCTCAGCTCAGCGCAGGGCCCAACTCCACCAGGGTCACTCATCTGGGCATCGGGGAGCAGCGCGCTCCTAAGCGGGACCAGACTGGGGCGTCTCACCATTTTAAGTCGGTTCCGCTCAATTTCTGTGCTGACTGGCTTCTGTATAATATCCTGTGATTCCTTATCATACTTCTGAGAGAGAGAGAGTGGGCGTTACCACAGGCCTCCGTCACCCTCCCCATTGCTTGAGCCTGGCTGGCCAAGTTCTGGCATCTTGGCTTGGGATGGAAAGGGTAGCGCCCCTGGGCCTTCCCCTGCCCCTCATGTACTCCCCCCCCACACACACACCAGGCTGAAGGCCCCTGTCCTAGGTGTGGATGGATTCCTTAAGGTCCCTGGGTAGACCCAGTCGGAGAGTCCCACCTTGGAAATCACTCTACTCTCGGGTCTCTTCTTGACTGATGGACTCATGCTGGGGCTGAGGCCGAAAAGACAGCTGGAGCAAGACTGGCCCCAGGTACTGTCTGCACCTGCCTTTCTCCGCTCAGCCAGCAGTCAGGCTGGACAGCAGCAGGCCAGCCCTGCTGGAGTGCCCAGGGAGGGGGCTGTGACATCACTGAAATATGTGACAGCAGGGCTGGGTCTCCAGGGAAAGTGTGTGTGGCCGGGTGGAGGTTGAGCAGGACCCTCCGTCTGTGGGAAACCACAGCTGTGTTCGCCGACACCACCTCCCGCTAGGTCAAACGTTTGGTTTCTTGATAACCCAGTCATCCCATTTGGTTAACAAGAAAGCTGTGGTTCAAAGAAGCTAAATAACTTACTGAGTAATTTATATAGCTCGGTAGTGGTGGGCGCCGGAAACCTAGGGTCTGACGTGAGACCGGGAGCCCCAAGCCCTGTGTTGACCCGTGGCACGTCGCTTCCAAGTGCTAGGAGAAAGAAAACTCTTGCCCTCAAGGAGTGACAGTCTAGGGGAGGAGAAGCATCTACTTGACAATGCTCTCATAAATTTCAGATAGCCAGTTTATCCTTAGAGTATTCTTTTCTTGAATTTTGACTAACTCTTGTGTCTATAACAAACCTCTGGTTGTAGTGGACAAACAAGTGTCGTTCCAAGCGATTGTGGACTTTATGCTAAAGAATAAGAGAAAGTGAGGGGCCCTCCCTGGTGGTGAATGGGTTAAAGCACAGCACAGGAAGCTCTCTTCAGCACCAGCACGAGTTCAATCCCGTTCAATCCCGGCCAGGGAGGTGCCCCACATGGTGCAGCAGGCAGCTCCTGACAGCCCGCTGCTCCCCTCAGCAGTGTATTTCAGTAGATCTGCCTGTTCAGCTCCCCACTCTGTCTCTGGTGAATCCTCTCACCGCCCCTGAATCTCTGGCCTGTACCCCAGTTCTGCATGCACAAATAAATATATCTTTTTTTTTTAAATAAATACATCTTTAAGAAAAGAAGAATAAGAGAAAGTGAAAGAGCAAGATGTAATTGCAATCATTCAATGATGTGATGGACTTATTTGCTGTGTTGGCTCACAGTTATCAAATACTGGAAGTATGTTTTCAGTTTTGTCTGTGTTGCTATTTACAATGTAACAGCTATAGACAGACACAAGTTTATATTTAACCTGCACTGTTAACATGTCCTCCCTTAATTTCTTAAAGCTGAACCAGGGATCTTCATGTTCCTTCTGTAAAGGGCCAGAGTAAATAGGCTAAACTTTGAAAGCCTTATGGTTGCAACTAAGTAACTCAGCCTTTGTTGTGTGAAAGCAACAGAGATAATATGCAAATGAGTGGGCCTGGCATAGCTGTATGCCAATAAAATTTTATTTACAAAAGTAGTTGGTGGATGGAATTGACCTTGGTCTACACAATCAACATAACAGTATATCCAAGCCTGACTTATCTCATCTACCTAGTCCTGGGGTATAAATACTCCCGTCATGGCTGATTTCAAGCTACCGATCTCACTGAAGGCAGAGCTGGCTACACACAGGATATACTATGTGGTTACCAGCATGTAGTATCTATCTCTACTATAGTCCTATAGACATAAAGAATCAAGAATACAGATAAGTGAAAGGTAATAAAAAGATTAGAAATGATGAGTCTGAGCATTTTCACCTTTGTTCTTAATGTCATTAACTTAATTAAGTTTACCTAATTTAATTTTTAATGATGGCTGCGCTTAACAACCAGCCTACAGAGTTTTTAAAGTGTAACAGGGTTTTGTAAGCCTATGAGTCAGTTCCAGCATCCCGCTGTCAGATCAGATGGAAGTGACTGTGTGGGCAGAGGGGGCGTGAGGACAGAGGTCGAGTATTTGCTCTGTGAGAGGGGTGGGATGGCAAATATTCACCACCAGGGTGAGATTTGGCAGAGACCTGAAGGAAATGAGGGGAGGGGAGAGGGTGGGTGCAGGAGACAAGGGCAGAGGGAGAGGTGGGGAGACCAGGACGCAGGCTGTGCTGAGCCCTAGTGCCCAGCGGCCGCATCAGATCAACCTGAAGCTGGTCAGAAACAGCTTCTCCAGCACCACCCCACTCAGCGGGCCCAGCTGGAGCCCAGCCCAGTGTGGACACCGTTTTGTACCCCTGGACGCTTCTTGGGCAGAGAGGTGAGTGCTCTCAGGCAGCACGCAACTCTGCCTCCCCGGGCTGCAGCCCAGGCCTGGATTTCAGGGAAGCTTTGACATACAGATGTCCTTTATTATTCTAGTGAGGGGTGGGAGTGTTGGGGGGTTAGACAGGCTGCGGCTGTGGCCCAGAAGAAGGCAGAGCAGAGGGGGCGACCTGGAGGGGAGGCATGCTGGCCCGCCCGCCCAGGCCTCCCCTCCCTACCACCACCACTCAGCTCCTATCAGCTGGCCTCTGGCTCTGGATGCTCTGAGGTGCTGGTGCCCGGGAGGCTGCGCCAGAACCATCGGCCCCTGCCACCCTGCCCCTGGCACCCAGGTGCGGGACCCACTGTGTCCCACCTGGTGGGCAGAGGCTGCCTGCTGTCAGCAGGTGCAGAGCGGGAGGGCAGGCACCTCTGGTGTGTGGGCTGGCGCCTCAAAGGCAAAGATTTCTGTCTTTTATTCACGGATAACCTCTCAGAGCCTACAACAGTGCTTGGCAGGGAATAGGTGCCCACGTGGTTTTTGAAAAAGAATGAAATACAGAGCATGATCTTGGGCAACATGGAGGACCAGCTGAGGAAGCCAGGAGGCCTTTGTTGAGGTGGAGATGAGAAATGAAGGGGAGGGAAAGCTGGCCAGGCAAAAGGGCGTGAGGAGGGCAGGGCGCCTTAAAAGAGGGGGAATTCAAACAACGTAGGTGTGGAAGGGATTTACAAAGAGCTGTGTGTTGCTGGAGTAGAAAGTCAGAGCCAAGAGTGGCAGTGAACAGGCAGCAAGACGCAGACTGCTCAGGGCCTGATGTGGCCCCACTATAACCCATAAAGCAGTGACAAATTGGACTTCATATTAAGAATCTGCTCTTTAAAAGACCATTACAAATGGAATGATAAGCCACAGTCTAGCAGAAAGTACTCATCGAGCATATGTCTGACGGAGGAGCCAAAGTGTTCACCGAACACTCAAATGCGAAATGACGTGGCCGCTGCAGAGAACAGTATGGTGGTCCTCAGAACATTAAAAGACAAACCAACCAACCAGAATTACCAGGTGAGCCCGGGCACTCCCGGGTGCCAGGGGCAGGGTGGCAGGGGCCGCTGGTTCTCGCACAGCCTGCCGGGCACCAGCACCTCAGAGCATCCAGAGCCAGAGGCCAGCTGACAGGAGCTGAGTGGTGCTGGCAGGGAGGGGAGGCCCGGGCAGGCCGAGGGGCTGGGGCAGGCGAGCCAGCGTCCTCCAGGCCTCCCTTCCAGGTCGCCGCCTCTGCTCTGCCTTCTTCTGGGCCACAGCCAGCGGCAGGCTGAGGAACATGCAGTTTGTCCTGGCGGCCCCGGGGCTGCGAACAGGGTAGCGGAGGCAGAGTGGCTGAAGGCGGCCCTGGCGCCTGCCGTCTGGCTCTGGCTACCTCGTCCCATTCCGCATCTCCCACCGTCACCTGCCACCTGCGTCTCTCCCTTTGAGTCTAAGCAGCTCATCCCCAAGGGCCAGGGAGTTCTCAGTACCCGGCAGTGGCTCCCAAGTCAGTTTTCCATACCCCATCTTGTTCCATCCTTCATCTATATGGGAAAAGCCATTCGTGGGGCGTGAATGTCACACAGCTGGTAAGGACTGTCCAAACTGAGCACGTGGCGGCTTTCTTCTCCTCATGTCTCCCTTGTATTGGGCCCTCCCTGAAGGCACAGTGCATGCAAGCACAGCTCTGTGAAACTATCTGCAGCCACTGCGGCACGAGTTCGATCCCCAGCTGACCCACCTGGTGCAGCCAACCCCCCCTGACCTGCCCTCTGCTCCCTCAGTAGTGGATTTCAGTAGATCCTCTTGTTCTGCTCCCCACTCTGTCTCTAGGGAGTCCCCTCACCCCCCACTCCACACCTCTGGCCTGTACCCCCATTCTTGCGTGCATAAATAAATAAAATATTTAAAAAAAAACAACTATTGCCATTGCATTTACACCACATTCCATATTATAAGTAACCCAAGGTAACTTGCGTATGGGAGCGTGTGTGCGCGTTCTATGCAGGTTCCGTGCCGTTGTACGGAAGGGAGCGAGCATGCGTGGCTATGGGCATCCTTGGGGGTCCCGGAACCCGTCGCTTGGGTGCTGAGGGGTGTTTGTGCCATCTTTTGTTTATCACTCCCTCGGGGAACAGGGGTACGTCCACCTCGGTGTTGTGATGAATGCTACGTTGAGCCCTGGTGTGCACATCTTCCTTTGTGACTCTTTTAACTCTCTAGGGTGCATGCCCTGCAGTAGAATGGCCAGCTGGTCCGGTTTTTAACGTTTTGAGCCCACCATGCAGTTTTCAACAGTGGCCTCACCACTTTATGTCATGATAATGCTCTGGGATCCCACTTTCCCCATACTGTCCCCACAATTTCTTTCTTCTTGAACTTTTCAGAAAAGATCTATCCTCATAGGTGTGAGAGTCCATTCTTCTGTGTTCTCTCCTGGTTTGCATGTTAGTTTCTTTAAAGTGAGCCTTACTGGGGGTAAAAATCGTCTTTCTGGCCCTCCCTGGTGGCGCAAGGGGGTTAGGACACAGCACTGCAAGCTGGCCGCAGCTATTTCAGTGAGTTTGATCCCTGGCCCCGGAGGTGACCCACGTGGCGCGGCAGACCTCTCCTGTCTGCCCGCTGCTCCCCTCAGCAGTGTACTTCGTCAGTTTGCCTATTCTGCTCCCCAGTCTGGCTCTGGTGAATCCTCTCACCCCCCTGCACCTCTGGCCTGTACTCCAGCTCTGTATGCATAAATAAATAAATCTAAAAAAAATTGCCTTTCTAGTGTACCGTTCTAGGAGTTGACAAGTACATATTATATAACCACCAAAATCAATACATAGACTGCTCCGATCACCCCGAGTGCCCTCGTGCAAGCGCGTAGCCGCTCCCCAGGCACCAGGCTCCTCCACACTGTTTATGGCCACCGCCACCAGCCTGGCCCCTGGCTTGCAAGTTAAGCCGAAAGCAAACCAAAGATTTCCATTTGATTCTTATTTGTATCTTCTATTTTTCCTGAGATTTTCTGTGTCCCCCCCCCCGCATTGAGAATATTTGTAATTGCTTGTTGAAGCATTTTTATAAG